GCGGGTTAAAAGCCGCATACGTATGCCATCGGGGCTTCACGTAATACTAATTTCCGCCGTGTCGGGCACAATCTTTTCGAGCTCGCGAATCCAACAGGATTACACGAGGGTTTTTTGTGCGAGCATCAGGTCGGCGTGATACATATTTGTCGTGTAAGCGAACCCCCTTAAACACTTCATCCGTCATGTCGCGCGCGCTAGGTATATAGGCTGCGGATCGCAGTTCGTCGCAGAGTTAAGTAGCAGTTTTCTCTCTCGGGCGCGATCGAAGCGATTAAAAAGGAGCTTTGAGCGCGATAGAGGTGACGATTAAAAAACTCGCGCGATTCCCCGTAGCCAGCGACTAGTTGCAGCGCATTATACGGACACGTCTATGTGCGCGTATATAGTAACGATCGTGTCATGTCTTGCTGCTGCCTCTGCTGGTTTTGCTACTGCACATGAGCGAAGAGAGAGATGCGCTGCTGCTGCTGCAACCGGTTTCATGGGTGCAGGCATAGGTAAAGCGATGCGAAAAAAAACAAAAATAAAAAAAAAGAGCAAGAAAAATAAAAGCAAAAGCTTCTAACCGTTTAAGTATTATTCAGCTGTCGGTGGCGGTGGTGGCGGTTATATATATAAACACCAGTAGGATCGTATGTAAGAGAATCGCTCGGGAAGAAACTCTGCACTCTTTGCAGCAGCTATATAATGGAATACAGCTCAGTGGCTATATTATAAGAATCCAGACGCACGCTGTACAAGTATCGAATCGGGAATGGGGAAGTCAACGCAAGCGCATATATAATATCGCGCCTACATTATACCGGTCAAAGATATTATGCCACCGAGGCTGCCACCGTCGGGTCGAGATCGTGGCCCGCGACATCGGGAGGAGGAAAGCAGAGGATAAAAGGGGAAAAAGCCATAGCCGAGCAGTGACAAGGGATATTTTAAAGTTCGCCCGTCGAAGCATCGATCCTCGCGTGAGCTTTACGAGCGTCGCTCGGGTGGCCTTTTTTTCTCTTTTCTTAATAAATTGAACCCTAGCCTCGCGCACGCACGCACGCACATACTTACACGCGAGTGCATTGTGCGACCACTCTTACCTACATACGCGATGCATAATCGTCCGTAATATATGTATAAATGTGCGTGTGCCGTGGTTGGCTGGAAAAAAATCAGCTCTTTTCTCTCGTTCTCGAGTTGCAGCTGCAGCATCCATATTTATTCGCATATGTACGCAGCGAACAAGACGAATAAGAAGCCTTTCCGAGTGGAGGCATTTTCTCGCAATTCGCACGCGTTGCAAATATATAGATGTACGTGTGTGCGAGTCTGCCTGTATATATATACTCCATCGTACCTACGCGTCCTATTCCATTAAGTCGTACAAATACATATATCTCGAAAGTTTCCTGCCTACATATATAAGCTTCTTTTACTTTTTCTTCTTCTTCTTCTTCTTCTTCTTCTCCGTCTTTTTCCTCAGCCTCGTATGCTGAGACTACAATGAACAAGTTTTAAGGCTTTCCTCCTATCAAGTGCACACACACATATATATTTCCATAAAGTGTAATAATACAGTCGTTGGCAGAATTTCTTCCATACGTATACGTTACGAGTCTTCTCGCACCTCGTTGGCGTCGCTGGCGAAAACATAGCTATATCCATAGACGTGTGTCGAGGATGAAAAAAAGCCAAGTCGAACGTCGATATATACTCGTTGGAGAAACGTACGATAGAGGAGCATCTCGCGCCCCTCTCGGGACTATAAACATCGTCGCATGATGGATGCAGTGCCACATAACAGCTACTGGTACTAGTATATAGTACTAGTTTTCGGAGCAGCTCGCTCGCTGCAAGAGTACCGATCTGCTGCAAGGAGGAGCTGCTTCCAGCCACCCATATATAAGTACGTCAATGCGTGCGCGTCTACTGCGCACACGACTCGCGACGCAGAGTCAATGACTCGAGAGGAATTTATTTTTCACACGCGGATAACAGATTTGCCAGTTTGCGACGAGGTTTCGCGCGCGTGCGCGACTCGCCGGAAGTAATGACTCGACTCTCGGCCGTCGTCCAGCATTGTTGGGTCGCGGATCGAGCTCCCTGTGCCGCCGGGCCTCGTTGCGCAGAAAAAAACAAGAAGAAGAAAGAAATCGGAGCAAAATTTAGCCGCGCGTACGTTGCGCGAGTTGCTGCAAGCGCAAAAAATGAGAAGAAATTAGAGGTGCTACATGTGATCCTATGCGCGTATACGGCCTTATGGGAAAGAGCCTCGTCGATTCGTGCCTGTAAGGCATGTTTATCCGGCGAAGATCGGAAACCACCTCGGAGCTGTTTTTTTTCTCTCCTTACGTTCATCATCGTTTCAATTAACCGCATTAGATTAATTAATGCCGTATTCAGTTACGGCCGACCTGTTACATGCTCATCGTCGTCGTCGTCGTCGTCGTCGTCCTCGTCTTGTATAACTATATATAAAATACGGAGCGTTGCGCGCGTAACGTTTAATGCGGCAGCAGGCGTATACGATCGTTAAAAAGTCCCTCGTGTCGGACGTGTATCGTGTACACATGCCTGTGTGCAGTGCAGTGCAGTCTGTAATACATACACACACTTACACACATGCGAGATGATGCAGCAGCGCCAATGTTCCGAATTCCTCGGCTAGGAATCGCGAATCGAGATCGCGGCCTGCGAGGCGTGTTCCCTTGGGTCATCACCTTCCTTCAAACTGTTAACTGTAAAAGTGCACGCGCAAAAGAGCTCGACGCGCGACAGCTCTCGGTGTATCGTCATCTTTCTCGGTACCCAAGACGTTCGCGAGATGGAGAGAAAAAATGACGAAATGGAAAAAAAAAGAAAAATAAACGAACCGCACGAATCTAGAGAAAATCCCGTGTTTCTACTTTTGCTGTGATACGTATAGCGACATGTCTGTAAAGCACCGGAGCTGACAATGTTTTCCCGTGTCGCTCGATCATCGTCCGATTACGCTCTTTTGATGTCGCGAATCGTTGTTGTCTTTTTTGTCTCTCTTTTTCTTCTTCGCTCCTGTTTTTTTTCCAGCGTCGTATGTGATTTGTCGTGCCACAACTATCTATAGTATACCTGGCTGCATAGGCGTGCACGCGATTTACGCTTCGTATTCTTTCGTGCGTGGGAAATTCGGTACACGTTCGCTGGCGTTGCTAGAACTGCATGTAACTGCGTCGTCGGCTGATTTACGATACATACAACGCTCGACAATTGCGATCCGGAAAAGCTCGACAATCGAAAGAGATCGAGCCGCGCACATTCAATTTTCGCGAGCGCTAAACGCAGCGCGTACATAAACCTGCACCGCTGCAGCTCGTATCGATTTCAACGATAATTCATTACGATCGGCGCGTAATCTAGCTGCAGCCCCGCTTCGGATATAGGTGCATGGCGCGGATCGGGCCGGCTCCGGCGTGGCGCATGTAACGCATGTCCTGGCAATAAAGCCGCTCTCGCGTACGCGTATCATTTTCAATGGAGCCCCTTTATTTATATACAAGCGTCGAGCCGGTCCGCTTTATTATATTGTTTTCATCGCTGTAATCGGCATATTGTCCCAAGTGGTAGCATAAAAGTAGTTATTATTAGCAGCTCTCGTGAATCGGCCCAGCCCACCTGTGTCGGCGTACTATGTTATAGACCATGTAATATGTACCGCTCGATACGCTGTACATAACTGCGCATATCGCGTAATATCGTTATATCATTGAATCGCGGCCAACTGCTATGGGCCATTAGACGGCCGATTCGCCCGTCTCGATGATCCTGCGTACGCAAGATCGAAGCGCAGGCATCCAAACAAAAGTTAATGTTACTTCTGCCGAGCGTATGAAAGCGAGAGAGAGAGAAGCGATCGCCCCTACTTGGGCTTTTTTTTTCTCTTTCTTAAGTAGCAGTATTCGCGCGTCACAGTCCCATAATCACAGGCGGCTATTATAATAATACTTCCGCGATACGTGCGTGCTCGAGTCGAGAGCAGCTCGCTGTTTAACGGAACAGTCGCGGCCTGTAACATTGCAGCGCGTCTGTGTGTGTGTGCGCTATGTACACGTCTCTCGAGTGCAGCGAGGCCGATTCACGTGCAAGCCATTGCACGCGCGATTAATCCAGTTTATATGGACTCGCACCGACAGCGACGCGACTCTTTATTTGGTGTCAGGCGTCGTATCGTGGCTGCGTACTCCACACATCGCAGCCACCCTCTTTCATCTCTCCGTTACACAAAGTGTCCTTTTTTTGTTTGCGCCTCTTTTTTAGCCATTCATCGGGACATTGAAAATCAGCGCACGCATGCCATCCGCGCTGTCGAAAACGTCGCGAGCTTTGACGAATTTATATCGCGCCGAGTAATTAGTCTTGCTCGAGCTTTCCATACCTTTACATTTTTTGCCCTGGCTCTTTGGCGTTCGATCGGCGGCAGATCGAGAAAAGCGAAAAAGTATGAGCTACGCCGTGCGTCTCGTAATGTCAAGGTTGTTATACGGCATTTCTATTACGTATCAGTATAAAGTATACGCGTGCGATGCGTATGTATAGCTGCGCTGCACGTGGCAAGGGCGAGTTATGCCGCGTACAGGCCGATGTAAGGTATCCTCGCGCATGTATCCAGCTGCGTTATGTGCGCGCGTTATGATATAATTGGACGTCCTTATGTATAAGCCGGCGCGATCGCGACGAGGCAGTTATACGCAGTTAAGGTCGAGACTCGTCCACTCCGACAGCCGCCATGTGCACGCGCGCGCGCGTCTATCTGTACATACACGAAAGATCGATGTCGTTAATCTCATAAAACGCCATTACGCGCCGTGATTCGCTGCCTTGATTAATTCCCAGCAATTTCTTTATTGAATAGCGTCATTTTTCATGCCATACTCGCATTGCGAGCGTGTGTGCGCGTGTGTGTTATACGCGAGCTCGTACAACAGGGATAGATATGTACTTGTACCTCGAGCATGATCGATATGACATTTTTGCAGACTCAGCCTCGTGCTGATGCTGTCGAGCGAGTCGGTCCTCTCCATTCCCGAGGACTACGAGACCGTACGGACGAGCAACGGGGCCATCTTCAACCGGCTGGGCCTCGTGCAGCTGCAGCAGCCGGACTCGGGCCTCAGCGGCCACCACCGCAAGCGCTTGGCCCCCGAGTCCTTCCACATGAAGCCCTACTCGGGCAGCTCCTCGCCGATGGGCCGTCGACACAACGGCGGCTCCAGCAAGGACAGCCACGTCTACGTCGTCAAGCTGCCCGCCAGCCAGCCCTACTACAGCTTCGCCAAGCCCCTGCAGCAGCCCAATCCCGAGAACGTCACCCAGGCCGATCCCGGCTTCAAGAACAACGGCAAGCCCGCCAAGATCTACCACTGGAATCTGCCCATGGTCAAGAAGATCAACGAGAAGAAGAAGCAGATGGCCATGCTGAGGATGGAACAGGCCAGGAAGCAGCTCGAGGCCGATCGCGAGAGGCAGAAGATCGAGGACAAGTGGAACTACCTCAAAAAGTTGGAGCAGGACAGGTTGATCGGCCTCGACAGGAAGCCCTCGCGAAACAACGACAAGTGGTTGAGCCATCCGGAGCACGTGGAGCCAAGGTAAGCGTTCCTCGTCCACCCACAAACCCAAGTCCACCATCCACCAAACTCATCGATCCAACCGCAGAGATCGACTCGAATAAAGAGCTCCATTTTTTTTCTACATTTTTCTAGAACTGCTTCCGGCGATCACGCGACTCACCTAAAGATCATCCCCTCGTCCATCAGCAGTGACAAGATGTACCGCATCGACACGAGTGCCGAACGGCGACATCATCAGCAGCCGCAACAACAGGAGCCGTCCTATCAACATCACCGCCTCAACGCCCTGCACGAGCAGGTCAACGACCTTCATTCCGCCAATCCCAATTACCGCACCGGTTCCGAGTCCCAAAAGGCCAAGAAGCATCGCAAAAAGTCCGCCGTGTCGTACTACTACGCACCGGCTTTAACGGGCAAGTCCGCCTCGACGAGCCTCAACAAGCACTTCTCTGGCAATGGCAAGCCCAAAGCTTTCTACGTCATGGAGAAGAGCAGAAAACCCGTGTATTACCATCCGCTCTTACCTTAAATCTCTCGACTCTTCCGACGTTGACTTTATTTTTGCGTCATTTTCTCTTTTCGTTAAATTATACGTCTCGCGTCAAAATCGAGCATTTAAAATTTTTTCCATTTTTCCAATTGGTGCTGAGCGTCAAAGCACGAAGAAAAAACATTGGTGAATATGCACAGGGTAACGATTATCGAAGAATCTTTCAACGCGACAATATACTTATTCAGAAGCTTTTTTATATAATAAGTGTACGATAAAAAAAAAATTATTTTTACGACAAATACGGAACGGTATACGATATCGTTATTTTATAAAAATGTACGACACAATTAATTCTAGTAAGGCTGGACTTATTCGACGCAAGACTGCCTAATATAATTTTGTGCATTTTATACTTTGAGTATAAAACTGTAATTGCACAAATGTGAGACTGAAAAAAATAATGACGTCCTTAATCACGTTTACTAAGCTAAGAAAAATTTAATTATTACAACGGCGTAATTGAGTAAGACAACGAAACACGAATCGATCTGGTAGTTTTAAGATTTTGAAAAACGGAGCATACTGTAGATATTTAAAACGATGTATGAATGAATAAAGTAGTGTTTGTACGCGGCTTACTTGTAATCTTTCCTAGTTTTTAAGTGTTTAAAATATGAACGTTTTTGTATCGTATATATTTATTTATAATTTTATATTGTAATACAGTAGTGAGACGATGATGAAAAAAAATAATCTCGAATATTTTTCTCGAAAATTAACTTGTAACGAGGATGCATTTTTTGTCCTATCAACATGCCAATTTACGAGGCAACAAATTGGCACGTACAATAAAGTATTTATTATTAAAAAAAAAAAACTCTCAAAAGTCTCTCTTTAATCGAGCCGGGTATAAATTTATTTCATCGCAGCCCATGCACCGCCCAACAAGGCTTGACGAAAGTGTGTACAACGTGTATATATATAATCATTACATGATTAAACGCTGTCGAAAAAGATCGCACCCATGCGCGCAAGGCGTGTGCGAGAAGCGCTGCATATCCCCGAGCCAGTCGCAAGAAGGAAGACGTTGGTGAAAAATTAATTTCATCGAGTTGACGAGAAACTGCCAAAGTTATCAAGTACCGTGGGGATAAAAATGTAGGAGGCAGTCGAAAGAAGATCAATGACCGTTGCAGGGCTGACAGGACTCGTAATGTAGCGCACAATGTGGCGATGTCGAGGCGCGACTCGATACTCGCGTTCATAATACGGATACTTAAGGATCTCTGCTTCTTCTTGTTCTTCCACTCGTTCTTCTTCGTTTCGAAGCTATACATAGCTCGAGCACACGAGCGTATGTAACGCGCGCGGCGAAAAGAGGAAAAAAAAGAAAAGAAAAAAAGATAAGATCTAGGCTCAGTACGGCTGTTGCGGCTGGCGCGTTCCGTTGCAAATTGCGAAGCAGAAGAAAAAAGATGTTGGCGCGCGTGCGAGCGATCGTCGCACCTCCGAGGCATATGCATTTTTCGGTAATTGCCGCGGCAGTGGCAGCTCGTACGATCGTCCCCGTGCGTGCACACATATAAAACATATATATACGTTTCTCGGCATATCGGCGCTTCTTTATACATACATTTATATACCTATACGTACATATTATTATCATATACTATATGAGAAATAATCTGTCCTCCATGAAGCAACAGTTAGCCATGCTGCGTCGTGCCGCACGAGCTATATCCTTCCTGTCGCGTAGCGCCGATACGTCGAGCTGCTTCGTTCTTCATATGTAGCTAATATCATTGCGAGTAAGCGAGGAAGTCGTTGCGTAATCGCCTATTTTCTTTTCCTCTTTTTCAATCATTTCGTCGACACTTATTCACATATAATATATCAATTATACACGTGTAAGACACTTGTCTTGTATTTATCGTACATCATTTATTTACAAAATACATATGCAGCTTCGATACATGCAACAATACTTATTTTACATTTTACATAGGGTAAAAATACAAAAATATTTTCGCTCTTATAAATTGACTTCATTAAAAAATAGATACTTAATGGTACACATCATATGGGACTAATTTACAGTTTAGACTGAGACTTTTCGCGTAGCGCGCATAATGTGCGGTAATTAAAGCGAAAAAATCCGACAAATTCGATCGAGCTCTCGCAAGGTCTATACGCGTCGATGTGTGCGCGCGAGAGTCGATTTCTTCGTATAATCAAAAGGGAGAAGCTGAAGCGATTTGCGGTCTAGCTTTTAAATTACATCATTCAATTTCCTCGGCCGAGTAATTCAAGACCTTTAGCTCTCGCTCCGTTCGGATAGTGGTACGTATGCGCGCGCGCGAGTGCATCATCGACTTTACACGCGTAGCATGTGTATGCGGCCGAGAGTCCCGATCCTTTTTGACTTATCTCTCGGAAGGGTCGAATATCGCCAGTCAGTGGTCGCGCGGCGCTCGTGCGAATCGATCCGGAAATGGATTCCTCGGCTCTCTCTCTTTCTCCAACATGTAATATAGAAAAAGACGATGACTCGAGGAGGCCCAACGGGATGAAATCATTGCATCTTTTTTTTTCTTCGCCAAGAATAGCCAACGTCTTCGGGGGCAGCATGAGTTCTCGCGTTTTTTTCTCATCCGCTTAGGCAGTATACACAGTACACACTCAGACACGGGACGTTGGTAGAATAAATATACATAAATGCTCGAAGGTGCGATGGCGGATCGTTTATGCAGATACATATGGAGCTGGCGAGCGACGACGATACCACTGCTTTATACGCGAAATCCAATTTACATTTATGAAGGCTCGAGATGGCTGGCTCGGTGCGTTCGAGAGAGAAAGATCGAGGCGTCGAGTCCTCGAGCTAATGGGCCGACATACACAACATGTTGGCTTACATACGAGATATGCCCTCGACAGGCTTCCTCTTTTTGTTTTTCTCTCGCCGTTTGTCGTTATTACACGCACATACGTACTCGGGGAGAGATACGTAGGATACAGTTGGGCGCGAAGCGCAGTACGAACGAGTCGCGCGACACCGCGCAGCGTGCCACAGAGATAAAATCACTCGGTCGCACGCGCAAACCTCCCGAGCCTTAGCTCGTACAGTGTGTAAGATACCACTATATATCCTGTGCCGCACTTGTACTACACGTGCGCGGATTATCATCTTTTACGTAACAGTACATATCGTCCTGCTCGGCGACCTTAATAATAATTAATCTTACAAGCCCGAACACTCGCAAGCGTATACGCTCGACATTTTCTCGATTCGCGAATCGTACACCTTGCAACCTGTACTAATTGATCAATCACTGTATATCATACTCGCTCGTTTGCTCGCTCCGCATTCCGACTCTTTGTATTATACACACTCGTTGGCGTATAACGCGATATCCGGCTCATCGCTGGCGCAGGACCATATGCAGGGCCCGTGCGAGACTAGCTGCCTTCATTACCGTCGAATCGCCGCTTTCGTATTTTGACGCGCTGCCTTGGACTTGGCGTCCTGCTGCAATCGATAAACGTGACTGTGCGGCTTTCCGTTGAAAAGATAGGGCGATCCGTTGTCGAGCTTGTATACGGGACTGTCCCGCTGATCGTCCTCGCTCGTGGCCAAGTAGACGCGGCTGGGCTTGCCATTGAACTTGTAGCTGCCGCTCAGCCTGATGATCGGACTGTCGCTGCTCGATTCTATCGAGGGCCGTTTTTGGGCTAACGTGTACACGCCGTTGGGCTTGCCGTTGCTCAGAAATTTCACGGGTACTTGAAGCAGCGCCGAGTTTCGCTCCGGATCCGGACGGTTGTAACTGAAAAATGCCGGAGGTCGAGAGATGTAACCGCCGTAGGATTGATCGTACACGTACGGCTCCGCCGGCAACTTTATGTAGTGCACCGGACTGTCGGGTCTGGGGGTCACGGGTTTCGCTGCGTTCGGTTTTTGCTTGATGTAGTATATTTTACTGTCCGGCAGGTTCGTTTTGTAGGGCCGTTGTCGTTGTTTATCCTTCTGCTGCTTCTTCAGCTTTTTCTTTTCGTTCGATGCTTTCGATAATTTGTCTAGTTCCTACGAATAAAAAACAACAACAAAATCAACAAATGCACGCGTGCACGAATAAAAAAACTCGCTGAATATGTACAAACCAGTAATTGTTCCAGACCAGTAAATATACTCGTCGCAGGTGGATGGTAATCCCGAAACATGGCTTTGTGCTGCCTCGATTCGGCTCGAGGCAGCTCGTTGCTCGACTTTGAACGGCCTGACGAAAGTTGGCTGCTCTCCGGGGCTCTCCGATTATCTCTCCTCGACGACGGTCCCGTTTGTTTGGTCAGCATTCGCGAGGCTACTTGACCCAAAAGCTGTAATTAAAGGGTTCGTCGTCGTTTTATCCCAGTGGCGAATTTGACGTAATAACACGCTTATATGTATACGAGTGCACCAGAAACGATGTACTTGCCCGTAAAAGTGGACTCTCAGTTGTAGTAGTCGTCGTCGTCGTCGCATCGTTGCTGGACTTTTTGTCCGATGACGAGATGAACTTGGGCCTTGTTGCATTAACTCTTGATTGACTTTTCGACTGTCTCGAATCCCTTGGCTTCAATGTCGTAGTAGTAGTAGTAGTACTCGTCGTCGTGTTGGTCGTTTCGTTGATATTGGTCCGCTTGGATATGGCATGAGTATCAGAGGCTATAACCCACGCGCCGCCGCTAGTAGCCAGAAGCACAGTCAATAAAAGTAGGAGGAGCAGCGAGGACGAGCCCTTCATGATGATGCCCATGCCTGCGAGTATAATACCTGCACATAAAGCAGCAGCGCGTATACACATGAGAATCAATGATTGACTTCGATTAAGGTAGATTATAGCCCTCAATGTAAGCTCTCAACGAAACCGGATATTTATTGCGGCCTCTCTCTTTCTCTCTCTCTCTCTATCTCGCTCCATAGTGTGTGTATGTGTGTGTGTGTTTTTACGCGCTGTACACGCATGCATTATAGTCGCGATGTGACAAATGCATGCTTATAAAGAGCTGATCGATTGACCAATTATTAGCTGCCAGGGCCTACCAGATGCAATTTGATATAGCAATTTTCTCCGAGGATTTTTGCGGTGCGGTAGCGCAGTATGATGATCCAGAGGCGACCTCGCAGGCCACCACGCGCTGTTTCTCAAACGAATACGAAGAAAAAGTTTTTCGCGTCCAACGCAGTCAACTTCCCTGTGCGGGCGCTACGAGTACGCCTGCCCGTCTATCATTGCGATCGCAGCACTTTGAGTGGCAAAAAAATAAGCCAACTTCCCATACGTACTAATTTAATTTACAACCCGTCGTATCGTCACTCGCACCTCGTTAAAGACGATCTGCTCGTCGAGCAAAAACAAATCTTTACGCGCTTGGCTGCACTTTCGATTTTACTTACGTCGTAGCTGAGCATTGCGTAGAGTAGGCAGTGATCAAAGGAAGCAAATAATGCGCGGAAAAACCCTTAGCTCTCTCGCTGGAATCAGCTCTTCCCTCCGTACTACCTCGACCCCCGTAGCAATGGAATCGGATGGAATAAGCACGAGGAGAATCGATCGCGCGAGTAAATCCCCTCCCTGTACAGCATTATAGGTAGCTCGCCTTTCTATGTACGCGGCATTAAGCGACAGTTATACCTTCGCGCCCGAAAATTACGAGCCTCGTTACGTTTTATAAGTGTAAATGTATATATACTAAGCCGATTTTTTGCCGCGGCCGCTTGTCGATTCCACTGGCGCGACTACATGCTATACGCGATGTTTTGTCGAGCAGACCGCCAGGTGTGCATATTATAAATTAAGCGAGTACATACGTTCGACTTGTCTCTTGAGCATCTCGCGAGGCCGAGATGAGATTTTTGTCCTACGCGCCATATTTGCATTTGGATTATACCTGTACCTCGTACGAGAGCTGTAAATTCCTCGAGCAGCGAGGCGATATTCCCGCTAAATAGCAAAATACAAAGCCGCGCACACGTACGATGGCTTCTACGCAATAAATATGACACTTTTTACGAGAGTTGCGCGCTGGATATGTTGCGAGTCGCTTTTTTCGTCCTCGTCGCTTGCTCTCGCGATCTCAGAGATACCTACCTACGTTTAATTAAATTTAATTGAAAAATTTGATATAATACACAGAAGAACGAAAGGAAAAAATGTTTACAACAACCCTGTAATTTTCATCGAAACGAACATTACGCTATATACTCGATGGCATGGATATGGTATGGCTCGCTTGCAAGGCGCATGCCGGTAAAAAAAAAGGACTGTAAAAAGTGTTTTTAACATCATCTCGAGAGATGTATACTGCAGGGACTGCTGCTGTTGCCGCTCCAGAGGGAGAGACCAAACTGACTTTTACAGTCTGTGATTGTACATCGTCGAAGCCATAATACATATCTCCCTGGCCACATGCGCAAGCCTTTATTTTCCTTTGCGATACTTACAAACACACCCATATAATCACTTCATAACGAAAGCCTCGTGTATGCACAGGGGTGTATACAACATAAACCGATCATCGATTCTCAACGATCCTATCTGAAGTGCCTTGGCGCGGTGTAGCCTTTAAACGCGTCAAAAATAGATCGGACTGCACACGTAATAATACAAGATCGCGATATAACGCGTAATCGGGGCTCGCGTGTGAAATCGAAAATTTACAATTGCTACCTTCGATGGGTTTTTTGAGGTCGACCTCTTGCGCATAAATTGCCGGTGCCGAAGCGAGCTGCGAGAAGTCGAAATGCATGCCGGCAACACCTGTGTCATTTTGAGCAAAATTGAGAAGCTACGATTAGTGGCAGACCCTTTGAAGCACGTCCGGCCGATACTTTGCGTCACTCGTGCGATTACCGCTCATCAAATCGCTATCGCGTTCAAGTGCTTCGATGAATTCGCCGCGTTGCCGAGTAATAGCTGTATATTACCGATCTTTTGCGGGCAGTGTGGCGTGGACGCGTTGCCGATGCATACGACATCTAACCGATCGTAGCTCAACGTCCAAGTCACCGATTTTTCGAGCTCGAGCTCGCTCGAGAAACTGCAAGGAGCTGCCAGTCTCGAGAGTTACCTTTCACCGGTGCGCGCGATCGGTACGCGCGCAATACCCGAGCGAAGCAAGACTGTTTTATCCGCAGGCACTGGCACAGTTGAGCCAAGCCCGACGATGCGCGCCACTCTGAACTTTAAAAAAGCCTCAAATACCTCGCACGTAATTCGTTAACATTCCTCGGCCGCGGTCGATCTCAATACCCAGTGTGTGAAATTTTCACCGTTAAATCAATGCAACAACTGGGCGACATAATAGAATTCCAGGCGTCGCTTCGTCAATGTTTACTTTAGGGTAGGCTCTCGTTCGAGTACACGCCAATTGATATACATATCGTTTCGCGCTTGCCTATATATGTATTCAACGAAAATGAGATATGCACAAGTCAGCGCTAAGAGGTAGAGTGGTCAAGTCTAATGACATCATACAATGAGAAGCGAAAGCAACCGGGCCCACGCGCTACTGTTGCCGCTTCCTATTCATCGCTTTCCTCCTCTTGTCTATCCTCGTTTCCGAAATCGCCTCGTGTTGCTATAATTTCTTATGCGAATCCAATACAGGAAATGCCTGTGTACTATCAAAACACTTTTTTTCACAAAAATTCCTGACTAGTAGCACAGGATACCAAAGTCGCATACGCGACATGATTCGTGAGAAAAAAATGCGATCAAATATTGTATGATTAAGGTACAAAAATTTTCAAGTGGATATAATAATTGAATCGAAACAACAACCAACTGATTTACGAGGTTTCACTTTGTCTACATTAAAAATGAGCAGAAAACGAAATTTACGAATGCGATGATGTTCTGCATTCTACAGCAGTGAACAAAATTATGTGATTCACGTACACAGTACGACGAACAGACAAATGTGAATTGAATTTATATTCGTCGAGTGCATTACGCGATCGTTTTCTAAGTATATAACCGTACAACTTGCGTATTTGAGGATTTTTTTTCGTCGCAAAAGAGAAACTTTCCCACTCGTGCTGTTTATACTTGCAGTTTCGTTAAAATAATGTATCGATTGGTTTAAAAAATGGATAATTTTGAACCATACCCAACTAGCTCTCGTTGTACATTCTGTGGCACTCGATACGATTTAATCTCGATTTTCATACTCAATTTTCGATCTAAGCAACTGCGAAATTTAATTTTGAAAAAAATCGATTATCGATGATGGATACTCACTAGCCACGATCGGAACAAAATTCATTAATAACACCTAGTAATTATAAATGGGTAAAAGCTGTCGAAGGAACGAAATACTTTCACGCGATGAAATTGATTGGAATAAAAATCCTCCGTGTGGAGCTAGGGGTCAAAACGAGTGGATTATATTTAAGAGTGGCCGATCTTTCACCGATCGGGGAAAATTCAGCTTCGGAGAGCAATTAAAATATAAAAAGTCCGATGTAACGCGAAATCGGTAACACAAATTGGCAGCGATAAATTAATTAGCGCGTGTACTTGGGCTGCGGTGAGGTGGCGTTGAGATGCTGAAACTCGTAACAGTATACAATGCGGCTAAGCCGAGCATTAAGCGAAACGATATCGAGAAAACGTCTTGTGCATATCCCCTCGCTTATCTTTTCTATATTGTAATTATGTACGGGCACGTGACGCGCCGCGTTCTATAAATGCGCGCCTCATTCGATATGCTCGATTTCTCTCTGGCGATCGGGAAAAACAATTCAACGAAATTTTCGGCGCATTTGTTGCAAGCTTTTTTTCCTACGTTTTTGCTCTTGACTGCCAAGGAAGATTCGCTTGACCGGCACGACAAATTTTAGCCGTTTTTTTTGCTTTCCAGAACGATGAAACTCTCGAGAGCCGATGCTTGTCGAGTCGACAGAAATATCGTCGCGGGAAAAAAGAAAACGTCGATAGTTTTAGCGAGTCGTTAATAGTTGTGAAAAACCGGGGCGGTGTCGATTGATTCTTCTTTTCTTCCAGCTTCAGTATACTGCACAGCGAGATAAAAGAATCGAGCTGAGTATCCAATAAAAAAATACCCGGGAGCCGAGAGCGCTCGGTTACTTTCGTAAATATAAAAAAGTACTACTCACGATGCGCCGGATACACTAAGAGGAAGCTCACATGTACACACTAACTAGAGATGACGAGATTGCCGAGGATCGAGGCCCTGGCTATCTTTTTTTCCTCAAATCATCGGCAAGTAATTAATGACAAACACAGAGCTCTTCTGCATGCATATTCAAAGAGGAAAATGAGCCTGGAATGTGATCTTGGAGTGAAAATGCGCTTAGCTTTCCCGCCGATGCGCGTAAATGTGCCGATATATAATAAAACATTCGTGTCACTCGTGCAGGCAAATTACCCAGATCCTCGACTGATGCTTGCTTTTTTTTCTCTCTTTCTCTCTATCCAGCATATCGATTCGGAAAAATTGTATATTTGTATTGGGCTGATTTCACTTTTGATTTCCGAGAGGCGCCGCGCCACTGCCTCGTACTGTTGCGGGCGCGAATCGATTCATTATACATTTAGCGCGCCGATTTCACGATGATTAAACACGCGTAGAATAACGCGCGGACGATCAGAAAAATAACACGAGCAGCGGCCAAAAAGTCGAGCGAATATCTCGCTAATAATAAGTAATCCCGACGCTAGCCCGACACATTTATAAACGCATTATGCACGGTAGCTTAAAAGGCATATTATGTCCTTTTTTTCTCAAGCGCGACGCAGTCGTGAGAAATGAAACGCGCGCGCTTCTCTCTTCCTATCTCTCTCACTCTCTTTCTCTCTCTCTCTCTCTCTCCATCTATATGTGTATGTATCCATGAAATTCTGGAATTTTCGCGCTTAATTGCTTTTCGCGTTTTGTCAAAACAGGGTCAAGTGTAGCTTCGTACGCTAGCAACGTGTCGTTTATAGAGCTCGAGATACCCCGTGTGCATTTCATTTTTTTTTCTTTTAATTACTCGACACTTTATTTTTTATTCGTTTCTAGAGTCGAAAAATTCGATCGATTATTCCATGTTCTAAAAGAGACCGCGCAATAAAATCATTGTTACTTTTTTTTTCTCTTCTCTCTTTTTCCTTCTTGGAAAATTTCACACTAGCTCGCATCAACGAGAGGCGGCTACGATGTTACTGGCCCGTGTATATGTGTGCTCTACATTCCATTCTAATCAATAAATTTGACATGCTTTGTTGCGTTTTTCGCGCGAGAATCCATTATAATACACAGATATAAATAACGGGAGAAGTCGTCACGCCTGTCTAAAGGCTTGGAAACACTTATCCATGCAGGTGAATCTTAATACAGATATAATATAAGCGTCTACCTTCCCACTCGACGCGTTTAACAGAGTATCGTGTATATTACTAGCCGGATACATCCGAGTAGTCAATTTAGAAAAGTGCAAATCTATTCTCTTTTCTTATCTTTCTTTTTTCAACCAACTAAATCACGGCAGATTGAAATTTTCAGCTACTTTATGGAAAGAATTAAAGAAATTATTCCGATCTCATTGTTCTTCCAATTGAAACTGATAATTATCGATGATTGCAGTAAATTGCCAGTGACTGAAATTATAAATAACCGACGCGTGGCCTTTCATCATTTGATACATCGAAATGCGTGATTCCTCGAGTGAATGGAACTGCACTTTAATTCATGGCTCTTGAGAGCTTTCAAAGCGGAAGAAACAGTCAATACTCACTTATGAGATAATACACCGGGGAAAATCCAAAATCCTACTGCACAACGGCAAAACAGCAAATCTTCATATAAAACAACGTTATCACATTATATTGTCTGTTATGCAGGCTCTCGTCAGTCTTCATCCTTGCAACGAATCTGGCTTGCAAAAAGAACGAAAGGAAACAAAACAAGAGCGAGAGCGTCACACAGGATTTTTCATCGTCACAGACGCGCAAGCACAGAATGACACACGTTAATTTCTGACACAGTTATTGACACACAGTTGATGCAACGATGGCTCGTCTTTTGGTCCCTTGTCACCGGTCGCGCAGAATATCGCGAGGTCTGCGACGGATCCGACTTGGCAAGTCGCAATCAGTCGGCAGAGGCGTTTATCGTTAGAATGAAAGCTTTTTCTAAAGTCGGCGCTTACTTATGCCGCGACTCCCCACCGACCGTCCCTCGTTGCTCTCCCGTGTACATGTATTATACGGTCGCGCGAGCTACTTGGCACATAAGCTCTTCATGGAGCCTCGGCGGCGCGTGGATATGTGTATACCTGTAATGTGTACGCGAGCTCAGCTGGTTGGCATGTGCGTGTAAGCCTGTGTGTGGCTACGCGCATACCTTTGCCTTTTAAAAAATGCCTCTCATATGTACCGGTATATATTTCATAGGCGTACTTTTCGTTGCGTGTTTGCTCTGATTCAAATTTTCCTACTCTTTTTGATAACCCGCCCGCACATTACCGCATTGAGTGCATACCCGTAATATGTCATAATGTGTGCCTCATATATATATTTCCATGTGTATATGATGATACGTGCTACATATTATAACGGCAGCCGAAGACGTGTGAACCCATCGGTAACTCTGAGGTTTGCATGCGATGCGGCTACCATTTTTTCCAATTTAGACTTACATTTTGCCGTTTGGTCAATCGTCCGCCGAGTTAATTTCGTCGAGCGATATACTAGCTATTCCAAAGATCGCTTGACATATCCTTACGTAAACAATAACGTGACGTGGTTCGAATGAAAAAAACCTTCGAATGGCTTATTACAATAAGCGTGCAAAGTCGCCGCCTTCACCGCCGCACTGACAATGCACCGCGTAATGGTTTACGAGAAAAAATTTTTCTCAGATACGATTCGATGTTGTAATACAAATGTTTGATACAGTGTGTAAGCCTGTCTTTAAAATACATCGCACGGACTAGCTCCAAACTCATGTAGCATGTAAAATTATGCGGAATCTTCGTGACCTAGTTTTACAAGACTTCAGCTAAAGTGATATTACAAAAATTGTTTTATCTAGTGTCGAAGGACGCTGGTGGCAGCATTATGCGCAAACATTTGAGCCACACGTGCCATTGCGTATAAATGGAATCACTTATAGGGTGAATTTCACAAAGCAGACTCCGCATATTACTTCTGTGCATATTTTCATCATAAATTGACATCTATAATAATTATTATAGAAATCTTTGATTATTCCGTCGCATTTTCAATAATCTAGAATTCGTCTTTTCGAAAAAACTAAAGTCAAGATACAAATGATAATTTTTTAATCCTTTTTTTAAAAGATTTTTACCGAATATTTTTTAAATTATTTAGCTTAATGATTAACATTTTTGACTTCAACTTCTGAAAAATAATTGGGGGCTTTCCAATATAATATTTAATACAAGTCTTGAAACACTAATTTAACAATTTTCATTTTTTTATTTGGGCATATATGAGCCTTTCCTCAACCCAACAGTACTTAATAATATTTCATTTATTCGTTAGCTATAAACTAATTGAAGAACAGCAAAGTTATTCTCGATAATATTTCACTTTCTATTATATTTTTCATTTGATTTTATTAAAGGTACGAGCATAAAATAATGCTACCAACTTGATGCCACTTTGATGCAGCGCATCGAACGCACTCATTGCGCATTTCAATAAAATTTTTTTGTGGCACGGGTATTTAAAATTTTCATTTTCATTTCTTTTACTTTTTTTATTTACATGAAAATATATTCGCGTATCAAAGACATGTACAACATTAAAACATTAACTCTCTATACGCAAAAAGGAATTAATGCTTTCTCGAATTTTCACTTGAAAAAAACCGCATGCGTCGATGATATTTTCCATTTCAAACGAGACATTTTTGCCGCGATTCGAAAATTAGATTGCAAGCGAACAACACGGCTTCTGATTATATTGACTCGCGCACAAAAAAATAAACGCACTTTGTGAAAACGTTTATGACCAGGACAAATAGTAATTATCCGTATACGCGTTTATCCGAGAATGTATCAGAAAGATAATATGTAATTTTACTAATTGGTCGATCGAAAATATAAAAAAATTTCACTTGTGCGACGTATGTGGACTATCAAAATAATACCTGCCGTATAATACTTTCACATCAGTGGGGCAGTTCATGTACTTCGAAATCATGATCTCGACGAGTTTATAAACACTCGTGCAATATTTGTCTTTCCTATACCCAAACATTAAAAGAGGAAGGAGCCACACGTAGATGGCTCATATCATACACTTACTTACTCATTTACGTTCGTGTGAAAAAAGAAAAGGAGAATTGCGAAGACCGGTGGCAATGATCTTTCACAAACAACGTCTCGTTTCGATTTGTGTACATTTTTCATTGAACTAATTTGTACTAGGAAAGCCTAAATTTGATTAGAAATTTGGATTGTTGCAAATTTACACTCACTTTCTCCGCTCACAACAACGTTGATAAAGCTAATCGAATTGCTTTGGATCGCCGACAATATACGTTTTGTAATAACACGTTCGCTGTAATATACTTTTAATCGGTTTTTTACATCGATCGCTAAGGCCTCACCGATTCATTCGCTCATTCTCGCTCGAACGTAGTAAACGAAAAATATAATCAATCGAGCGAATTCGGATACGCATTTGTAAAAGGGACACACTTGAACGCGAGAAGACTTGGCGCGTAAATTAATCCACATGTATATAATGAATCTCAGTGGTTATACGCGAAGGATTTATGAGTCGTAAGTGAAAGGGAAGCTTACGAGGAGTTATTATATAATCCACTTATCAAGAAGGTCAAGGGCTTAAATCGATTTATTATCCTCTTTCGAAGGACGAACGCGTCTCATTTTATGCCGAATCAGGACCTTTTAGTCCTCCATGATTCATTATGCACTAATGATAATGCTTTGAATAGAAGAGATACTTCATACTTCAGAAAATGATAATGAGCCAAAGAAGCTCGCTCTTATCGTTCATTAGCGAATTCACAGCAAAATGCAGCGTAACCGGCGTTTATGTACGCGTATTCCTAACTGTAAGGTACATATTGTATTTTATCATCGTGGCATCGTGCTTGAGCGGCCGTCGAAATCACCGGAAATTTTTCTCGATATGCACGCGCAACAACGCCAACGGGCCGCTCGTTTTCCTCTACTTCTGCTGTTACTTCTTCTTCTTCTTCTTCTTCTTCTACTTCAATTTTTACTTGTTCCGGTTCAAAGCACACGGTAGCTGCCTATACGTGCCCATGCGATGATACAGTTTATTAACGTTTGAAAATAATAATGATCGTATCGTAGGAAATTTCTTGTTATACGGGACGCGCACGCAAACATCAGTGAAAGTCTTGGTGCGGATCGCCGAGAGCCGTCGACAGGTAAATATTAATATTTCGGATGTAATAAACTCGACGGATCATTTCTTTTATTTTTACAGAGCGAAATGTGCTCGCGAGCGCGTACGACACAATCGCTCAATAAAAATAAGCGAAAGCAAAAGTAAAATAATAAATTACAACTAGAGCAGTGTTAAGGTCTTTCGTTCTCTCTATTTTTGCCATCGCGTACGCTTGTAGTCGTTTTTGTTAAAACTTTTGTGGCATGTGTCACGCCTTCTTGAATCGATGCCTCGATTATATTATTCATACAATTTGTTAGGTCGTGAAACGCAAAAATCGATAATGAATGATGAACAACGACAGCTCGTATAGAAAAATGAAGCCGGCAAAATTTTGCCGATCTGCCAGTGAAATATGGCATCCACAAATTTAAAGTCAAATTCAAAAGAAGTTTACCTGGCCGGGAAGAGAAGTGAAACGCCGCATGCGCTGCGTGTTCTCCATTCAATCATTTCCTTTAATGCCGCGAATAATAATTTTAATACTAAATGAGATCTCTCAAAACTTAGTGTAATGAACATTGATATTAAAGTTTCGTTTGTAACACACTAGCTTACTTGCGGCCGGGACTTTAATCGCATCTCGCTCGCTCTCGAATACGACAATTATTCACGTTATAAACTTAAAATGCAGCAATGCACAATACGCTGTGACGTTAAAGTTTCTACGTCGTATAAAAATTTCAAGTACTCGAAGGATAAAAAAGTGGTCCGTGAGACTTTTACCATATACAGGAGAAGATACCAAAACTAAAAAATAAAATGAAAAAAGTAGACTACTATTAAACACTTGCGTGAATGTAATGCAGCTACTGGTTTTGCTTTACTTTTTTTTATTCTCAAACGAACAAAATAATACGCAAACGTGTAAATTAAAACTGTTTCATATCAAATCTACTGCAGAGCTACATATGCAGCTGGAACATCGTTAGTCCTGACAGAAAAGCACATGAGCTGCAACAAGTGCGGATGCGGCAATAAATTTTTGCTCATATATAAACGCGTGGTAATTAACGGTATATTTTGTTAAATTTTTACAGCATTCAATAAAATGATAAAAGAAATACATTTATATTCATATGTAGAAGCAAAGCTGCCAATTTCAAGGCTCACGTATGCATCGCGCACAACCACAGATCCTTAAATATGTTTTCCTTGAAAGCATATAAAGATGCACTCAATACATCGCAGTAGGTAGGCATTATAATAGGCGTGAATTGTCGAAAGGAAAAGGCCGCGTGCACAAATGTGTGTGTGTGTTTGCACGCGCGAGTGTATACATGTAATTATCTCCGGATTAAGTTCTCATGACGTTTGAGAATGCATATCACACTAGTACATAATACATTTATATGCAGCGACGGAAATTCAT